GTGCGCCGTACTCTGATGTTCAGTTCCATCCGGCTTTGGAATGATGACTGCCTTCTTGATCAACTTTGTGTGTCTCTCGCCGGACCCGTGGAAACTATTCTTCTGGTGGTATCATATATTCCCCCATGCAGCAGTTTCGAACTATATAAGGCTCATGTGGATAACATCGCCCGTATTAGTCAAGATCTTGAGGATTCGCAGTCGATCTGTGTTTTTGAGGACTTTAATCTTTCCTCGCTGGTGTGGGTGCATGGAGTGGACTCACCATCAATGATTCCCAGTAATCTGCATCTGCCTCAGGAAATCTTGGTCATAGATGATCTTTTCAGTCTCGGTCTGGTCCAGATAAATCACGTATTTAATAAATTACATAAACTTCTAGATCTAATTTTTGTAAGTCAAGATCTGAACTTAAATCTAGTTTGCAGTAGTAATCCTATTTCTGAGTGCGATGCCAACTACCAGCACTTACTGATCTCATTATTTACTTACATATATTTTCGCCTTATAAACCAAGCACATCTTCATTGTACATTAATATGAACAATTTAAATTTAATTCGAAATGATATTAAGCATGTTAATTGGGTTGAGGTCCTTTCGCATGATAATTTGGACACTTGCTATGATAACTTTTTAATAACTATTTCAGCTATCATTAAAAAATAAGCAAAAAAAAGGCTCTTCTGTTCGTATAAATTACCATGGTATACGCATGGGCTTAAAAAATACAAGAATCTCAGAAATAAGTTTTATAAGCGATACGTTGAAAATGGTAATTCAGCTGACTTCGATAGATATAAACAGCATAAGCGCGAGTTCGAGTTCTTAAACAAGTTCTTGTACAACCAATACATAGCAGATGTGGAAATGAGATTAATTAACAATCCTAAATCTTTGTGGCATTTTGTTAATTCCAAGAAAACAACATCATACATCCCCTCCCATATGTCATTAGATAACTCGTCGGCATCCTCTGATATCGAAGTGGCAAATCTGTTTGCCAAATACTTTGCGTCGAATTTCGAGCCATTATCTTCATGGAATGATGATTTCACGCTTCGTTCCATTGCTCCAAGCTCCAATATTGGGAGCTTATATGTCACTGAGTCCGACTGCCAACTCGCTGTAGAGAGCCTTAATGACTCTGAAAAATTCGACTGTGATGGTCTCTCACCTTTTATATTAAAAAGTTGTATTGGCGTTCTTTCAGAACAAATCCCTCTCCAGCGGTGTTTTCACTCAGAGATGGAAATTGGATACAGTTACTCCCGTTTTTAAGTCCGGTGGAAAAAATATCATCTCCAATTACAGGCCAATTGCAAAGCTTAGCAATATATCTGAGATGTTTGAACGAATTGTTGCTAAGCAGCTCGCCTTTTCATCAGCCCTAACCAGCATGGTTTTGTGCCAGGACGTTCGACTACCACAAGCTGTTGTTACCCATTTTTGCATTAATGTCTTTTCGAAACAAAAGCAAGTGGATGTGGTATACACTGACTTTGCTAAAGCATTTGATAAGGTCTGCCATAGTGCTTTGTTGGCTAAGCTCGAAAAAATTGGCTTCCATTCATCAATGTTGAATTGGATAAGATCTTACTTAGATGGCCGTTGGTACAGAGTGTTGTGCAATAATCATTCTTCGAGTCCGTATATAGCGACATCTGACCTTCCTCAGGGGAGTGCCTTGGGCCCTTTTCTTTTTATTTTATTCGTAATTGCAGGACTTGAGGTCATAGCCGGCTTCGATTTTATAAAAATCAAAGACTCGGCTTTTGCTAAAAACAACAAAAGGAACTTGTCAATAGACAAGCAGCAGCTGTGGCGACGATCGTTTCGTTGGAGCTACCCAACTCATCAGACCACTTGCTGACCATTGCTAATTTTCTTGGTACTTTACCTTCAATCTTAGCTTAGACTCGTTGGGAAGCGTAAGTTTCGATGTAAAGTCAAAAGCAAACCCTGAAAATCGGCAATAGTTCCTTTTGTTGTTTTTAACCAGTTGTTTGGCATGCAAGTCTATCAGACTTGCCATAAGCCAAGCTTTAAAGCTTTTACGTATGGTGACGTGGGCTTTTTTGGGGCGAATCTCCCCTTTGGTTTAGTTTGTTTTGTAGCATCGACCTGTTTTTGTTTAGCATTCGTAATTGCAGGACTTGAGGTCATAGCCGGCTTCGATTTTATAAAAATCAAAGACTCGGCTTTTGCTAAAAACAACAAAAGGAACTTGTCAATAGACAAGCAGCAGCTGTGGTGACGATCGTTTCGTTGGAGCTACCCAACTCATCAGACCACTTGCTGACTATTGCTAATTTTCTTGGTACTTTACCTTCAATCTTAGCTTAGACTCGTTGGGAATCGTAAGTTTCGATGTAAAGGAAAAAAAAAATTTTATATATAAACAAGAAAGGAAGCTAACTTCGGCACGCCGAAGTTTGTATACCCTTGCAGATTGGTTTCAATGTTTATATTATAGATTTAAATGCTGAAAACACTCAAAAAACTGAGTTTCATTACATTTTACCTATACTTATTATGTTTACAGTTTGACAGTTACAGTTTTACATTCCCAGCTTTACATATTTTATACATTTACCGATTGCTTCTATGCCATCTATATGATATAGTTGTCCGATTTTTATAAAATTTTTACCAAAATTCTAGAATAATAAAGAAAGCTTATATCTCAGAGTAGATAAACATACGTTGGAAAACAACGAAGTTATAATTTTTTTTCGATTAACTTCCCGATCGTTCCTATGGCAGCTATAAGATATAGTGGTCCGATTTTCATAAAATTTTTAACAAAATTCTGGAATAATATAAAATGACCATATCTAAAAAATGGTGCAAAAATGTTAAAAAAACATCCAAGTTATAATTATTTTTCTAAAAATGTATCAAACATTTGTATGGCAGCTCCGACATATATAGCAGTGAGAGTATATAGAAGACTATATGCAAAGTTTCGTTCAGATAGCTTTAAAACTGAGGGACTAGTTTGCGTAGAAACGGACAGACGGACGTGGCTAGATCGACTCGGCTGTTGATGCTGATCAAGAATATATATACTTTATAGGGTCGGAAACGTCTCCTTCACTGCGTTGCAAACTTCTGACTGAAATTATAATACCCTGCAAGGGTATAATGACATTGGCCAATGCTTTAAGAGCTCGGAATTTTTATTGTTTGCCGATGACCTGAAAATTTTCAAGTCGGTAAGTTCGGTCCTGGATAGTAATATGCTTCAGGATGATTTGGCCAGAGTTGGAGAGTGGTGCTCTCGGAATAAGCTGCCTTTAAACCTGTCCAAATGTTTCACTGTCACGTACAGCAAAAGGTTCAGCAATTCGTTTTTTCCGTACTCGATTGATTCCTGCCTCCTTGCATGCAAAACTGAAGCACTTGACTTGGGAGTTATGTTTGATGCTAAATTCCTCTTCATTGACCATATAAACTATATAGTTCCAAAAGCGTATGCTATGTATGGGTTTATAAAGCGAAATGCGGCTCAATTCACTGACCCTTACACCAAGCTTAGCTTATTTTTTTCTTTTATAAGGTCCAAGCTTGAGTACGCTTCGTTCATTTGGAACCCGACTGGATCGGTACATTCCAACCGCCTAGAACGTATTCAGAAAAAGTTTCTGTGTTTTGCCCTTAATTCCCTAAATTTCCATGAACCAGTTCCCTCCTATTCCGCTAAATGTCGTCTTGTGCACTTGTCATGTCTACACGATAAAAGAATCGTTACTAGTTTACTTGTCATTTTCGACATTATTTCGTGCAAAATCGATTGTCCTCCATTGCTTAGATGTATAAATTTTTCTGTTCCTAGTAGACACTTAAGAACATTTGAGCCATTTTTCTTGCCTATTTGTCGAACGAATTATGCTTTAAATGAGCCTATTTATAGGGCCTTATTCTTTTACAACAATCTACCGCCAAATATGCGACTGGACCCTTGCCTACCAAGAGCTTTAATTAAGAAGGAATTTTTCTTTATCTATCCACAACCAATGTCAGTTAGTTAAGTTTTTTAGTTGAGTAGCCAGTTAAGGTTGACCGTTGGCGAGATAATAAATAAATAAATAATTTTTTAGCCGATGTGAAATTCCGATTAACACAGAGTTCCATCCACCATCCGATAACAGCTGTCGCTCAATTTGCCGTTCCGAAATTTCTTATTTTGTATCGCATCCGAGTGCATCTAAATTTTACAACTGTTTTTTGGCAATAGTTAGGCGATAGTGTTTCGGTGGTTTCTAATTTTCTTAATAGGGTCTTCCCATGTTGTTATTTAATTTTATAGCGCAGAATACAAAATTGTGCTTTATTTTCAAACATTGATGTTGTTCATTATAGGGTCTTCCCACACACCGTCAAAGCGCATCTACCGTCCGTTGAATGAGATATGGAATTTAAAATGTGGCGCCAAAGCTACAAGCATGCCCAAAATAGTTGTTTTTTCTGTATATTCTTGCCCCAATATGTCCCCAATTGTTACTATTTAATATAAACCGCCTGCCTCTACCTTATTTTGAAGATTTTGGATGCCTATACCACCTATAGACACTCTTCGGGGAATTTGCTCTTTGTTAGAGAAAAATCATTAGAAAACTAAAATTCCTTGTCATTTAATTCATTTAAATTTGGTGCGGATAAATTCTGACGCAATCTGTGCCTTTCCCTGTTGTACAACAGCCAAAATAGTTGGTAAATGCTCCATTTCAAATTTGCAACTGCCAATTCGACAGTCTTTGTTTACGTTTTCATGAGCCACAGCTGATCGATCAGCTGTTCGGATGCCAGATGCACTTTGACGCTCTGTGGGAACACGAGTTTCGCATCTGCGAAAAATCCCAAACGTTCCTCACAGATGCGCTGTGAGGGAAGACCGTATTAAACATCGATGCTCCACAGTGATATGTTCAGTGGAAAAACTGCATCGTATAAGGCGGTATGGTATTTTGTGATATCTTGTAACTTTGTTTACGGTCACATTATTTCTTTTACCTCACATAGCACGTGTTTTAAGGTTTGTTATTAAAATTCGAAATGGGATTTGGACGGCCTCGTGGTGGTGGCTCTGGCAGAGGATTTCGTGGCGGCGGAGGCGGAGGATTTAACAGAGGTGGCCCTCGTGGTGGACGAGGAACATTTGATAATGGTACGTTAGGTCTTACTAAAAAGTTAAGTTCGTTACTAAAACGCGTAAACACATGCATATATAATTTACAGGCCCACCAGATCGTGTTATTCCATTGGGTAACTTTGTTTACTCCTGCCAAAACGATCTGGTCTGCAAAGTTGGAATTCAAGATGTTCCGTATTTTAATGCTCCCATATTTCTTGAAAATAAAGAACAAATAGGAAAGATTGACGAAATATTTGGAACAGTTCGTGATTACTTCGTATCCGTGAAATTGTCGGATAATGTTTATGCCAATAGCTTTAATCCGAATCAATCTTTATATATCGATCCTGGCAAACTATTGCCAATCGCTAGATTTCTACCTAAGCCCCCACAACCGAAGGGAGCTCTAAAAAAGTGCAGTCGCGGTGGAACTGGAGGTAATTCTGGCTTTCGAGGAGGGTTATCTCGCGGTGGATCAGGTAAAGTCATTAAGATATATGTATAAAGTTTTATAATATTTTAAATACTGTTTTATTCTTCTATCTTCGATAGCTGGTCGCGGCGTTGCGCGAGGTGGCGGAAAAAATAATTTTGGAAGCGGCGGTGGATTTAGAGGGCGTGGCGGTGGCGGAGGTGGATTCAATAGAGGAAGAGGAGGTGGCTCCTCTGGTGGACGCGGGCGTTGGTAGGTTTTTTGTGGTTACAATATTCAAATCACAAAGAAACCTTGCAACATTACATGTGCTTGAATTTTTTCTATAATATTAACAGCTGAAAAACAAATTTCCCCAAATAAAGATTCATTACTTTCATAAATAAAAGTCTGCGATCACTGAGCGTCATTGATCCAACTAAATCGCGAGATATTGTCGTTCAGCGAAGAAGCAATATCATGCTGAAGGATCATTGGCGGCTTGATGATATTGTTTGCAGGTGATTTCAGCCAGACGTTGCCAGTAATTACCCGTGGAACGCGTGCAGATGAATTGAATGCTTGCCTGAAGGCATCACGTAAAGGCATCATCATAACGTAAAAACATCGCTGACCACTAATATGAGAGTTCAACTCCAAAATAATCAAAGTGCTGCACAATTATCCAAACAATTGTTAGCTGTTGGAAATGGAAAAGTCCCAGTTGATGCGACATCTGGATTAATTTCTCTTACCAACTACTTTTGCCGATTTGTAGACTCCCAATTAGCTCTTATTGAAAATGTTTTCCCAAACCTAAGTGAAAATTATGCTTGGTTAAGGGGTTATATACAGTTGTAATAGATGAAAAAATCTACTTTTTTTAATTGCATATTCTCCAAGTATATACTGTTGCGAATACTCTCACAAAAATTCATTAGAACCGAGGTTGTAGCTATTATAGCGCACTACCTGCACATCGACTGGAACAAACTTGAAACATTAAACGCGATTATCTCAGAATCTTGTTTTTTCGAAATTACCTTTGCGGTGGACACGATTACTAAAAAACTATTAATCCCCGATCAACACCTGATTTTGACCACTTATTTATTATAATAATTTATTAAGAATTTTCAATTTTTTTGAAAACTTTTTTTTAGAGCATAAAAATCGAAAATCTTATACCTTGAAAAAGAAATTTTTTTTTTTTAAATCGTCTTCATTTTTTTTATCAACATTTTTACAAATACTTCGTCCAGGGACTAGGCAATACAATATACTAACGAAATTTTTTTCAATCTTTGATTTCTGATTAACCGATCTCGGGATATGATGTCCACCGCAAGTCACCATCGAAAAAAGAGCATCTTGGAATTCGGCCATAACATTTTTATTATTTAATATTTTTTTATGAAAAAATTTTAATAAGAACCCAGAAACATGTACTAAACAACGTCGGCAAAACATTTTTAATAATTATTTTTTATGGTTTAAAAAAAATCGATAAAATTTCATTTTTTTGCGCGGTACAACTGTATATAACCCCTTAAATCAAGGACCCATTCTTGCTGCAAAGATTAATGATGTACACGCACTGAATTTCACCATTCAATCAAAAATGTTACAAATATCGCCTGGGATGCGCACCGAGGATAGGTTGGCAGGTCCATGATGAGGTCAAGTGGAACATATCTAGAGCGTCTCCTACTATCCACACCGAAGGGGAAGTGTGGAAGGAACGCGAAAGAAACGATACACCCACACCAAGGCACCGAAAGAGCACTGGCGTTGAAAACGCTTCTCGACCCCGCTTGAGAGAGGCGAGAAAGTAGAAAAAGGAATTGGTGAGAACCGAGCCTATATAGGGCAAGAAAATGCTGAAATATAAAGTTTATTTTTAAAGTTTATTAATCTGAAGTTAAATGTTTATTTTTGAAGTTAAATAATAATAAATACTGATAAACATAAATAAATTTATGTTTCATTTAAATTTAAATAAAATCGATATCCTAAAGAAATTAGAATTGGAAATAGATATCAAAAATGTATCTAAAACGTATCGTCAAAAAACCGCAAACTAACTTATTCAAGTATCGTCAAAGGACCGCAAACGGTACTTTTTCGGGTTCCCCAAAACTTAAGTTTGGAATATTTTTAACGAAGTTTTTGTCTACAACTTCAATAACAAATATTTCGTCCTTTCCCCACTATGGATCTAAGCCAATTAATAATAATAATTAAATAGTATATAGCTGTTTATAAGGATAATTCTTACCATATATTCAATTCTGTGTGTATGGGCACGGAAACCCTCTTAACTGCATGAATAATAATAATGGTAATAATAATAAAAAAATATTGCCACACTTTTCAACATATTTTTGTTTTTATTTTTAAAGCGTACATAATGTATTTTAATTCTATGTATATATTTATTAAACGTTAATTAATTGTTTTTTTTTTTCAAGTATTATATTTACTTAATTCTTTACGTTTGTGTGATTGCTATCATGTTGCCAATATATATTATTCACTTAAATGATAGTGTAACATTTATTATTACTATCTTTTAATACATATTTTTGTTAACCCTTGCCACTATCTATCAGTCCAATAATTATATATTGACTTAAAAAGTGCTTAATTATTACATATATAACTTCCTAGCTGCGAATAATAGTATAAGAAATTTAATATTATTACAATATATATTATATGTATATACGTATTATAACATAGGTTTTACTGTTTTCAAAAACGTTATGTTTTATTCTGTATTATTCAGAGAAACGAGATTGGTTCTTAACTTAAAAACTTCACTGACTCGACAAAATATAATACTAAAACATAGACACTTATAACAATAATGATTACATTTTACATTTGTTAAAAACTGACTTCAATAAATAAAAATATATCAAGTAAATATTGCAAAATCGTTCCAGCGAACACAAAATCTTAAAAAACACAGAAAAAATGGAAGCATGAATGTGCACTTTATATAATACAAATTATATAAAAGTGAGATTTTAAAACTAAGCATAAAGACACATAATATGAATAAAAGGATTCCAAATGAATCAATATATCTATTTAATATTATTATTTCTTTATTACTTAATTTTGTTATGAAGTCGAAACATATATAATATGCTTTAAACAGTCTTTTTAAATTGGCAATGGCTATATATACATTGATTCAAATATATAATAAATACATCATATCCTATCAAGACGCATTCCCTTATACGGATTGTAAGATTGTTTGCGAGTTTACTTTACTTTACTTTTATATACAATATCCACACATGACTAGAGCCATATATAAATCCGTAATTATTTTATCACAGCAATATATTTAATTTTTAATTTTGTGGGTTCTGTCTGTTCATGTAATGTAAATACTGTAGATCCCCTTTACTTTACCAGAAATACGCATGCTGCGAAATATATTGAATTATTATTAATTAAATATTGGCTCTCGGTCTAAACTATTTATTTATATCCTTTTTAATTTAAGTCCTATTATGTGTTCTAAAATTAAGTTTTTACTGTTCTCAACGTTAGCTCTGGTGCATATAAACATCAATTAAAGAATTAAAGCAAACTTCTTTGCTTAAAAACATCAAGAATATAATCGGTTTGTTTTTAAAATTCAGGGTTAGAAAAGATATATAACTGTCTGTATATGTATGTTGAATTCATATTAGTATTTTTTAATATTGGTCACTTTATATTTATTATTTAAATGTTTAAATGTTTTCACTCTCATTCAAGAATAATAAATGAATAACGCAATACACAATGCCCATTTGTTGACTAGCCGATCGAGCTTACATTTTCTTTTCATTAATATATTGTTTTGTTTAATTTATGTATGATTGACCATGGATTTACATAAGGCTCTAGTTTTTCCATTTATGTTTTTTTCTCGTGCGTTTTAAATATTTAAATTACACAATACAATATTTTTTGGGATATGATGGAGTGTTTACTTACTGTTACGGAAATAGAGATATGTTTAATTAAGTACATAATGATCGCCAGAAAATATTTACAGCAAAAAACTAGGCAAGAATTATTCATTCTTGATGTGACTTGCAAACCAAAATTTCAGTAGGAAAACATACTATTATTTAATTCTGCATGATAATTGTTGTAATAAACTTTAACAAAAACAGAATCTCGAGACTAGTTAAAAAATTGCAATACAACGCGCGTCAAACTCTGTCAAAAAAAACAAATAAATGATCGATTCATTTAATAATTTAATTTGTTTCTTATAAATCCGCGGCGTTTTTTATGTTTGGAATAGTAAGTAGTTATATCAGGTCTTATGGTCAATAAATTCGTAAGCATTTGTCAGTATCAGTATATTCTATGTAAAAGTGGTTGTCTATTTACAAAGTTTTATATATATTTTTTAAAGTTAAAAAATTATACCTTCTCGGCTTATTAAATACATGAAAAATAAAGTCCCGAATGCGTGACATCTTCTTGGTTTATTATATATATGAAAAATAAAGTTCTGAATGACAAAGAACCGTTTTGAAATAACCATTTGCCTTATCTTTCACAAAAAAAAATTTCATTTATAGCAAGACAAAATGATTATTTTTTGTGGTTTTTAATTATGGTATTGTTGTTTTTAATGTTTTTTAAAAGTTAAAAGGCATTAAATATACCATATATTGGTAGTTATTTGATATCAAAAAAGAAAAGCAGACATTGGAACGCCTTGCAATTTTTAAAATTAGATAATTGAAAAATTTATTTGGATTTTTTCCCCATTATTTTTTATATTTTTCCTATTACATCTATATGATATAGTCACATTTCCCATGTAAGCTATATGATATAGTGGTCTAGCTCGTTTCGACTAGTTAATAGGAACAGAAACTTCCAACTGAAATTATTATACCTTACAAGGCTATAATAAAACTTTACTTGAGACAAATAATTATTGAAACAAAATGTTACATTAATAAAGAAAAACAATAATAAATTCGGAAAAATTATTTTTTTTTTCAATAGATTTCAATAATCCATTAGCAAATTAAGGTAGTAGATACCTTGTTTTGTTTTCTGTAGTATTTTTATTTATTATTCTGATCTATTTGGCATTGCCTCTAGCTTGAGATATATATATATATATATATATATAAATATATATATATAGATAAATATATATATATATATAGATAAATAAATATATATATATATATATATATATATATATATATATATACATATATATTAGGGAAAGAAATCAATAAGTCTTTGTTTGGCCTTCGACAGAGCTGTTTTTACTGGTTTTGTGAAAATCGATACCTTTTAAATTTAAAATTAATTTTAAAAGAAGTAATATTGTTTCTTGTTGGCACTAAGTAGTATTTATTTAATGGCCACTTTTGTTTACGGAAGAATGGCGATGGGATAGTTGTGTAAAGGAGGATTATTGCACATAATGGTGTTTATACAGTTCTCAAATAGTTGCAATTAGTTGTTCCATATAAATCTGACGATCTGTCACAAAAAAAGTTGTGGTAGGGTCATTTGCTTAGATTTTTTAACCGAATACTCTCGGAGCATGCTAGTGTAAAACTAAAAGGCGACTGCTCTGGACCACGATTCTTCTATAGTATAAGGTGGGCTCATCGCGAGAGCTGCTCTATTTTGCTGTTGCAGCAAGTGCTTATCGTTCTTACAAAGCTGATGAGACCACCTAATATTATAATAATATTACTCTGGACAGTCTAGAAAACAACATTGGCACGCACATATGTAGGTGTCTAATATATGGGACACCTATTACTTTATAGAGCAATGTCCGAGAACAGGCTCTAAACAGCGAAAACAATTGAACCCTGTACATAAACGTATTTGGGTTTCCTCTGCTAAAGATTCTTCTCTGTGTCTGTTATGAAACGCTGATGGCTCCAGTTTCTGTAGCGCCGGCGCTTGATGGAGTCTTGCCGGAAGCATTTGATTGCTGATGATGATCAGTGTTTTTTTCATGATTACTATGACATTCAGCAGCGCTGGTTTTTTCAGCATGATGGGAACTTATAGACATCATTGCCGTTGTCGTTGCATCATTTCTATTACTACTAGCCACTACCACTTTATTTTTGTTATTTACTGCAGACGTTGTCGTCATATGGGTAACATTTAACAACTGTTGTTGTTGGTGTAAATGTTGACTAAAGCTGCTCTTTAACAGCGAAGATGGCTGATGATGATTTGTCAATTGATTAATGCTCAGGGGATTGTTAATGTCTCGCGGATTAGCACCAATTGGATTTCGTATAATGTTTGGCATTACGGGAATTGGAATTTGAGAATTGTTTAAATTATTTAAGCTAATATTATTACCAAAGAACGGTTCTAGCTTATTAGTAGTTAAACCTGTACCTGCGGTTGATGTTGTGGTAAAAACGGGACTTAACCCCATTCCCAGGTGACTAAAACGATTGCCCAGCAACATAGTTTGAGATGAGGAAGTCCCGCTTGCTCCTGGAATACAGTTAGCTCCCGGAATACTGCTGTTAATCCCTGGCATACCAGTTGTTACGGGCGAAACTGTACTTGAGGTACTCGGGGTTGTCCCGCCACTACCACTCGAGGCTGATACCGATGTAGACGTTGTAGAAACTGATGTCGAACGTTGTTGCTGCTGCTGCTCTGTAGCACTACAATTGATCAATAGAGCAGCTGGATTTGGCGTCGTTGGATTAATAAAATTAATCATATTTAAAGGACTTGCTAGGCTCGTAGTGGTGGTCGATGGACTCTGGGCAAAACTGGACATAGATCCATGATCCAAGGATTCCGCATCATCATCTATTTTATTCGCAGTTTCGTCTGCATCGACGCTTCCACAGCTTCCATTAAGCTTGACATCATCATCGTCCTCATCGTCGTCATCGTCGTCGCTTCCATGATCATCCATGCCGCTTCCATCTTCCAAAATTCCTCCATTTCCATTCATTGCCTCCATATAACGAATGCATTTCTTCTTGCGCCTAAAAAAAATAAAAGCAAAAAAAAAAAAACAAAAATAAAAATGGTTTATAAGTTTAAAAGTGTTTATAAAAAATTTTGTAATCTTAAAAGTGCAAAGATATAGACATTCCAAAAATATTGAATACACAAACATAAGAGGATTTCATGCTCAAGAGAGGGATTTCGGTATTCGTATTCAAAAACCTGGAAAAAAAATAACACACAAAAAACACACAGATTACTATTATTAAAAATAATTATAAAACAAATAATTTATCCGCATGCGCTTCTTAAAAAATGCAACTGCTTTTTATATAAAAATTTTATTTTGACTGAAGTGGAATTTTATGTCGATATACAGGGAACAAACAACATGCCGAAAATTGTAATATTCTTCTTGCATTCCACGTTTGCTTTTATTTAACTAATCAAATTAAAAAAAAAAATTTTTAATATTCTAATTTTAACATTTAAACCAGAAAGGAAGCTAACTTCGGCACGCCGAAGTTTGTATACCCTTGCAGATATTATTTCATTTCAATTTACCTATACTTATTATGTTTACAGTTTGACAGTTACAGTTTACATTCCCAGTTTTACATTTTCTTTACATCTACCGATCGTTTCTATGGCAGCTATATGATATTGTTGTCAGATTTTCATAAAATTTATACCAAAATTCTGAAATAATAAAAATATATGAAAATAGGTTGAAAAACAACGAAGGTATAATTTTTTTTCTATTAATTTCATGATCGTTCCTATGGCAGCTATAAGATATAGTCGTCCGATTTTCATTAAATTAGATCCGAAATAATTAAAAATAGCCATATCTGAGAAATTATTAAGATATGTTGAAAAACAGCCAAGTTATAATTTTGTTTCTAAAAATTTGTCTATCATTTGTATGGCAACTATATGATATAGTCGTCGTATGCCATTAAAACGAAAAAAGAAAAAATTAAACCCTTGCTTTTCAACAAATTTTTATCTCCTTTGAGAAATGGTAATTTTGTATTCATTCAGAAATTTGGTTTTAGTTTTATGAAAATAAACGACTATATCATATCTGTCATTGAAATTACCGTAAAATTTGTAGAAAAATTATAACATAGCTGTTTTACAACTTATTTTCATCTACTTGAAGAAATGGTCATCTTTAATTATTTCACATTTTCGGTTTATTTTTACTAAAATTGGAAAAATATATATCTGCCATAAGGATGATCGGTAGATGAAGGGAAAAAACTAAAGCTGTGAATGTAAAAATATAACTGTGAAACTATTAATATAATAGGTATATTTTTTGTTGTTCAGCAAATATCTTTATAATTTATATTAACTTAGATATTTCAAATCCAAAATATTGTTATTGTATACGATTTTAAAATATGTTTTTGAAATTTTATAAAAAACTAATTTTCGTGTATGACTTATAAATAAAAATATTTTTTGTATGGGCAACTCCCTAATGTCTAACGCGACATTTGTACGCATTCAAATTGAAAAAAACATGGGAAAAGACTTTATATTAATTTTACAAAATTTGAAACTTAAAGGTCTTGGTCAATTTTGGAAAATTGCTCGTTTTCAAGAAATTTACAATAATTAGGGGCAGTCCCACGCGACCGTGCAGAATTCCCTTTAAAAAAAAAACAACTTTCAGCACTTATTTCTGCGAAACGTGATGAAAGATTTTAATGCAATCAATAATGTGTAAATTTATCTTCATAATGTATTTGGTTTGACTTAAAAATATTAGGTAGTTTTTTTAATTTGAATTTTAATCCCTGTCGCACGCCACATTTTTCCCCCCATATATAAACTTCGGCGAGCCGAAGTTAGCTTTCTTTCTTCATTATACCCTTGCAGGGTGTTATAATTTCAGTCACAAGTTTGCAACGCAGTGAAGGAGACCTTTCCGACCCAATAAAATATATATATTCTTGATCAGCATCAACAGCCGAGTCAATCTAGCCATGTCCGTCTGTCTATCTGTCCATCTGTCTGTTTCTACGCAATCTAGTCCCTCAGTTTTAAAGCTATCTGAATGAAACTTTGCATATAGTCTTCTATATACTCTCACTGCTATATATGTCGAAACGGGCCGGATCGGACGACTATATCATATAGATGCCATAAAAATGTTTGATAAATATTTAGAAAACAAAATTGTAACTTGTTTGTTTTCCAACATTTTTGCATCATTTGTGAGATATGGCCACTTTATATTATTGCAGAATTTCGGTTTTTATTTTATGAAAATTTGACGACTATCAGGCCTGTTCTAGTTTCCACTTCCGCAAAATTTATTCGGATTCGGATTTCCCTGACCTGTTCTAGTGTTCACTTCCGAAAAATTCTTACGGATTCGTATTTCCCTCTGTTAAGTCTCTGTTAATTTGCAGACGAAACGCACGGAAACTTTCCGTGTGCCATTTGGCCGACGGATTCAAATCAGCAAAATCAGAAATTAATTATTTTAAAATACAATGCGATTATGTATATTACAAATGTTAATTGTAATCTATTCCTTGAAGTTTTGGGAACATTATTGCACAATTGAATTAATTAATACTAACTTACTTGATTTAAAAATAATTATTTTCTGGGTGCACCTTAAAATCGGTTCGATTCTAACCTTCAAGATTATTGAAAATCCGCCGCCGCTGTGTCGTATTTGAGAGGGACCATTTAAGGGTGGTCAGCGTTTCAAAAAAACGGCATATATTTAAGATAAATTTTGAACAATTACTTTTTATGTTGTTTTACAATTAAACGATCTGCTATTAGGGTAAAGTATATGAAAAAGTGTTTTTGTTTAAAATACCAGGCAGTTTAATCTACAAACTGAACTAAGTGTTATGCGAAGGGAATTATTTCTTAACCCTCGGCAACTCTACTCTCGAGCATTTTGCGACCAGAACAGCTGGTTGCAATTACAAATATTTCAAAATGTTTATTTCCAGCCGTAAATGCTTATTCCTTCGATTTTATTAAGTAAATTAGAGCTTCATTACTATCTATGAGTTGGAGACTACAGCGGGCCAAAATCTGATCAGCCCCTTTTAGAAAATCTTAGACTAGGAAATCTCTTTTGTTGAAAGCGACCAGCTGATTTTGTTTGGGAATTTAAGGGAAATTAAAAAAAAATTCCTTTAATCACCAAGGGAAATTCGCTTATGTTAAAGGGAAATCCGAAAATGTTATCAAATTCACTTCCGAGTGGAAACTAGAACAGGCCTGTATATCTTATACATAGCTGCCATAGAAACGATCGGAAAAATAATAGGAAAAAAAAATAATTTTGTTGTTTTTCAACGTATTTTCATCTACTCTGAGATATGAGCTTTTGTTATTAATCTAGAATTTTGTTTTAGATTTCATAAAAATCGGACAACTATTTCATATAGCTTCCATAGAAGCGATCGGTAGAATGTAAAACTGTAACTGTCAAATTGTAAATATAATAAGTATAGGTCAACTTTAATGAAAATCTGTTTTGTGTGTCTTTTCAGCATTTAAATGTATTAAATAAATATCAAAACCAATCTGCAAGGGTATAAAAACTTCGGCGTGCCGAAGTTAGCTTCCTTTCTTCTTATTCAATTTGAAGAAGATTGGCACGGGACATAAAAGAAAACAACAATGCTAATCAAAATATTACCGTTATAGGTAATTGCAAAAGGAAATATCGTTTATTTTTGAATCCTTGCATTCTCAGCGGGATGTTAGAAAGTAAGAGTCGAAGCAAATTGCCTCTAGTTTAGAAGTTATTATCAAAACAAAATATGCGCTTTTTAAAGTTGTTTTTCATAAAAATAATGAAGAATCGAGCTCTTGTAACTATTTCCTAGTCGATTCTATGGAAGCTATACGATAGTCATCAGATTTTCAAAAAAAGAAATCCCAAATTCTTAATTAATACAAAAAGACCATACAATTTTTTCTACAAATTTCCCGATTGTTCCACAGCTATAGGACATAGTCAGCTGATCCTGCCCGTTCCGAAAGTGAGTAGTAGTCAGAAGACTATCTCCAAAGCTTTATTCAGATAGCTTCAAAATTGATAGTTTGCGTAGAAACGGACAGACGGACGTTGTTAGATTGACTACTCTGCTGCCTCTTTCCCTGCGTATGTAAATCGTGCCTTGAATATATTAAAAATATTAATCTATATATAAACCGCAAGCTTTAAAAAAGGCAATTAAATAAGAAAGCCAATTGTTATATTTTAAAAGAAATCATAATGCGGTTATTGCTGGTATAGCTCGTACTACCAATAAAACATTTAAATAATATTAAAAATAAGTGAAACCTTTTTCAAACAACATACAAATTGCTTAATTTACTGCTTTAATTAACAACGACTATAGAACAACGGGTAAAACAACAACAATATTAGGCTTTAATTCAAAATGTATATCAGGGTTTTTCTACGTGTTATTTAAAAAACACTTTTAAGGTTTAAATAGAATATGACTTTTTAAAAATATAAAAACTTAAGATTGATCCTTAAATTACCAATATTCTTTATATAAATATATTATTTGCAATGATCCTTAAAATCCACGTCAAGTCATCTTCATTTCTTACAAAGACAACCGAAACTTAAATAAATTATATAGACTCATTTTTAAATTGTTTGTTAGTTATCAATTTTTTTAAGCAATATTTGTAATTTTCGGATCAATATATTATATATAATATTTAATAATATGTTTTATTTTAATAAAAAAAAATTAAACAATGGTGTTTGTTGTGACAATATAAAATCACGCTTAACAAATTGTAATTATTTTGAAAATATAAATAATAATGATAATAAACAATTAAATTAATATGAATAAAAATTTTTTTTTTTGTATTAGGTTTTCGTGCGATAAGTAAATAATAAATTTTATAAAATATAACCCTGATATGCATTTGTATTATTATTAATTATTTTATAATTTGTTTAGTTACTGGTCTCTCTTTTTCTCTCTGGGCGTTGGAGTAATTTATTAAGATCTCTTGTTTTTATATTTGATCCTGGGATCTCTGGAACGTCAGATTTCTGTCCCGCTTGTATATATTTCTTGTGTTGTAGTAGAGATCGATCCCTTACAAATTGACATATGTCGGTGGTGCTTGTGCCTGTGCTTGCTGTTGTGGCGACAATTGCTGTGAGCAAGCTGCAACTTGTATGCCATTTATTGATCCGTTTCCATTACTGCCATTTGGAGCCATCATCAATTGAACATGTGTATGAGAAGACGAGGTGGATGATGATGAGGAGGACGAGGATGACGATATCGCACCGCCAACAATGCCACTTACAATGGGTGCCAACATGTTAACAACGCCAACACCGACACCAGCACCTGGTGAACTATTACTGCTCGTAGTGATGCTCATGCCGCCTCCTCCGTTATTATTGTTGCTTACAGTTGAAATGGTACCCAAATTGGGACTTTATTCAACGTGGAAAAGTCAATAAAATGTAGTCCAATAATTAATATAAATCACATCATTAGAACAGGCATTAAGAAGATAGGACAGCATCAGCATATTTTTATAATTATTTAAGGTACTTTTAAAACTAAGATTCTTTTGAATTTTAAAACTAAGATTCTTTTGAATTTTAAAATTTAAAATAATTTGTACACATAATTATTATTATATTAATAGTCGTTCTTATATTAGTATTTAATCACAAATAATTTCGTTAACAAGTAATTCATTGTAGGACCAAGCCATACAATCGGATGTCCATTGCTCTGATCTTCGACTATTTTTTTTTTTATCAAATATTATATATATATTTCAATACATAATAAATTTAGAAAAAAAATAATTAAAGTAAGCAAATTTGGTTACACTTATTTACAAGCATTACCCGCCAAATCATTCAGTTTATAAATAATATTTAATTTTAATAAACTAATAATAAATTATATTCATTTTGTTGGGGTTGCATTTATCGTGATTACTGTTAAAATTAAATAATATATAATGGTATTAGTTAAAATTAAAGTGTATACCTATATTCGTGTCTGTGTGTGTTGTTCTTTTTTATTGTGGGAATGGTTTTTAATTAAATCTAATAGGTATCATATTGTGCACTTTATGTCTTAATAAACATTGTATATTTATATCAGTTTAATTAAATCAAAATTCACGCAAGATAAAGACAAAAAATAATATTGTGTGACATAATAGTTGCAGCAGCAAATAAACTAAAGTATAGAATTTAAAAATATATATTTTTTCGTCAATGGGCAACATTAACCTCTGAGCAATGCAATTCCCGACACACCTTGACGATGTTTTTTTCTGCCTGAAATTATTTATATATTTTTTTAAGTTTTTACTCACAGTTTAAACATATTTTATTATAACATTTTCATCAATATATTTAATATATATTCCTTTAAAATGATATATGCCTATTTTTATGGACAAGAAAACTTGCGTGAATCTTGTGTAAGCTCTATTTTGTGTAATAAACAATACAAATTTGAACTAAAAATGATAAGGTGAATGATAAAAAAGGTGTTAAGAAAACATACCTGCAGGGCTTGCACCATTGATTTTGTTGGTCCAATCCAAAACGAGCTCGACATTTCTTCATATTATTCCCTGGCAAAAAAAATAATTGGATGTTTAGATTACATCTTTAATATATTATCATTTGTATTTGTAGTTTTAATAATGACTGGTTAGGCATCGAAATATTAGTGATTTTAATGAATACATATATTGAGAATACAAAAAACTTAAACAAAATTACTAAAAGCTATGCTCAACTGTAGAAAATTAAATGTAGAAAAATCTAAAAGCATGCAACATATCACATGCCTTGCATGTATAGATTTTTGTTTTTTAGTAACTACAGTTAGGTATAAGTATATAGTGGTTTGTTTCCTAAATGTTATACTTTTAATTTGGAATATGTAGTCTTAATCCAGGATTTTCTTGATAATTAAAATCTTCATTTAAATATATTTTTTTTTTTTCTGTGAAACCGATAGACAATTACAAAATTTATTTATATATTTAATATATATATTTACATAATTTTATTTGTATGTACATTTAAAAGTATATTAAGTCCGGTTATCCGGTGTCTCTGTCAGTATTAATGATTTAATTGATATAATTTTGGCTTTAATATAAACCGATTTGGATGTTTTTATATCGTAATTAAATTAAAGAAAATGGGTTATCTAACCTCCTTCGTTGGTATCTTGCTTCCGCTTCCGTTTTTTGCCGCGAGAAGCATTTGTGCGAGAGCTCCAATCGGGATACATTTGCATGTGCAGCTGGCGTTCCCTTCGCGCCAATTCGTAATATTTCGCCTGCTCCTCACGCCCCAACGCATGCCACTAGGTTTTTTTTATTTTATTTTTTTTTTTGGGATATATATTTATATATATTATATAATAATATATAGTATGCAAACATAGTATATCGGAATTTATGGAATATATAAGTTTATATTTAACCAAGCTAGAGTTAATATTTTGTTAAGGTACTTTCTTAGCAAGAAATAAAGCTGCCTTTTCTTTCTGAAAACTATACCATATATTAAAAAGATACAAGATGTTTTTGATCCTGTGTATTAATAAAAACCGGTTTGAGATAAAAAAAAAAAAATATAAAAAACGTTATTAAGGTATTCCCTAAATGATAAAACCTCCAATTATTTAATTATTATATATTTTTTTTAAGGATATTATATTATATACATTTATTTTTAATATCTATTATATTGTCTGTAGCAGTCAGAAAATGGAGTCATATCCGCTGGTCATATATCTCTCTCGCTGATCATACATAAAACTCATCTGTATTTCTTTTAAAGATTTTGAAATTGTCTTTTTAAAGAAAATAGAGCTAGAGCATGTAACGATCAATCATTTTTGCCGACGCAGTCTGGAATAGGTCTTTCAAAAAAGCTTAGTACTAAGTACTATCAGCGAAAAGAGGAAAAGGTGTAACTTTCTGATTTTTGGTCGGGCTGGTGCTAAGATAAAATAAACGTTGTGAGCAAAATATCAAAAGCTTAGCTGAATCAAAAACTGAACAGCTGTTATTTTGTGAGCAAAAGGACGAATTTATACATTTTTAAAGGTTTATTATATCATATTCAAAATAGACATTAGAAATACGGAAAAAATATATTATTGAGCGGCGACGGCGTTGGTGCCTTAGGTTATTTTCCTTCGAATAAAAGCGTCAGTGTGATTCTTTTCATATTTTTTAGTTCATTTATCTGGTCACATTGGTTCTGATCGAAATATATAGCAATTATGCTCACAATATTATTAAATTAAGTTTATTTTATGTAGTAGTAGGCTTAACTGACCACTTGAGATACTTTTGGGTGGGCGCTTACGGCATACCGCTTAAAAAAAAAAGCACTGCGCAATAAATGTCTGTATATAATATATAATATAATACGATTTTTCTTGTGTGCAAGAAAGAAAAGTGTTCTCTCTATTTATGAATGTGTGCATAATTAAGAAAATACAGGCAGTACGTTATAGTATGAATTCAGTTTTGCAACGAAGTCACAATCACAACAGTTTTGACAAATGTTCTTTCAAAGAAGAACCAAAGGCAAAAAAGCTCTGAGCTGAAAATCTGTTAAACGAACACTGAAATGTTCGGCGAATGTTTGCGAGCTCTGAAAATGTTATTTAAAAACTTTGCCATAAAATATCCTGGTATGGCTGGCATATTATTTTTGAAAAACTTAAAGATACTTGTTCCAAAGTAAACAAAAATACTAATTATCAAAAGATTTACATCATTAAGAAAAAAAATCATAGATACGGGAAATTTTGATACGCCATTTTCTAACCCAGTATAGAGCTGCACAAAATATATCGATAAAGTCTTTTAACGACACCATTAAAAAAAAGATCACTTTTCTCCTAGCGCCAAAACTCTATATAAAAACCAACGCAGCATAGAAGAAAAGAAGAAGAACTTTCTGACGGAAAGTTTTATCGGGTACTAGCAAAATATCTTTATTTGTCCCCGAGATACCGTCTTTTGAATTTATATCCTTATTTTTCCATATATATTGTCAAGTTCTACACAATCACAAATATCGTTCAACTACTTTAGCGTTATTTTTTAGCTTGAAACTTAATTTTCTTTCGGTTTCTAGCTTTTTTCAAAGCTTAGGTTAGCTTTTTTATGCCGTGAAGAGTTGCCAAAACTGGAACTAAAATAAGATAAATGTTGCGAGCAAAAAATGTTGCAAACGAACTAAATGTTGCGAGCAACATTACTAAACCGCTGTGGTTTTGCTTTCAAAATAAATCAATTAAATTATTCTTAAAACAAAGAAAAACATTGCTCTCATGGAACGTTTTTCTTGCCGGTAGGATAGGATTAATATAATAAATTCCGTAATGATTAAGTCCATTTTAGGACATTTAGTTCACAAAAGACATTTTAAACGAAGAAATAAACTGTTATTGGTCGTTGACGGCGTTGGGTATTACCCTTCAGCATCATAGCGGCAAATATATCAATAAATAACAGAGCTCGCACAAAACGGTCAACCGTTTTGATCAATCAAATTCTTTCGGAGAGAGAACAACCAACTAGTCTTAAAAAGGGTCTCTCTCGCAGATGTTCTCGCTTCTTTGCTTTGATTGCGATTTCGGTTAACTGTAACGGGAGATCGCAAAGACAAAGCTTTCGGAAAACGAAGCGGCATAGAAACAACTCGCTCGCTTCTGAGTCGAAAAGAGTGCCTGAGAGAGAGGGAGAGGGATGAAGCACTCGTATTTTTACGAAAAATTAAATTAAGGAACTTGTCCTGTGTGACTAGCGCATTAACGTATAAGTATCTTGTACTTGTAGCGTTAGGAAGAAATCTTCAAATAAATAATAATAATAATAATAATAATATTCTACAAACAATTTAAACACAAATTAATAAAGAAATAAACCAAAGTTTGTGTTAATATTTTTTTTTTTTTTTTTTTTTTTTTTTTTTTGCTATTTATTTTAATCATTTAATTTAATTTATTTTAATCATTTACATTTTTAAATGTTTGTTGTCAAAAATGAAGTAATTGTGCAAACAATCAACTGACACTACGCGAAATGTACAAATTAACAGCGAGAACTTTCCGCGAAGAGACCGGTCACACTTCAGACAACGAGCCTGCTCTCTCCGCTTCAACCGAGAGAGAATAGAAAAAGGGCCCATGTCAGAGGTCTCATTGAGAGATTTCGGAACTAACCGGTTACGTAACCTAAATGTTAAGACTTTTTTGGGAATCGGGACTCAACCCTGCGAGCTCTGATAAATAATATTCCAACATTTTATTAGTTGTCATAAATTTTTATTTTGTTTTAAGAAGCTTGAATTTGTAAAGTTCTTGTGACTTCTGAAAGCTTGCTTACATAAAATAGCGTGTCATACGTCCCATATTCGGTCACACTGTTTCCGGATCGATGTGTATAACAATTTCGCTCCCAACATTTCGAATGCATATTTATCTTGTGTTAGTACCAGCCTTTACAAAAAAAAAGTTGGAAATACGTGTCGGTGTGACCATTTTCATGCCGTTTCTTTAATTTCTTTGGTCACACTGGTTCCCAAACAAAATATATATAGCAAATCCGCTAGAAGAATTTTTTACAACAGATTTGACTTATCTTAGTTCCAACCTTTAGTGAAAATAAAATTAAGAGCTAAGACACTTAATTTCTTTAAATAATTATTATATAAGCAATAGTATCGCTATAATACTCCCGAAAATATGGAAAATAATTAATGTTGTCACAGATCTACTATACTATGAACTTGTTAGGCTGTGGACTTGATCGATTTCAAATACGGCTTCGGGCGCATGCTTTTCGCCAATTTTAAATATATATTTGAGGATGTTCAATTTGGATTCGTAATAATAGTTTGAAAGATATTTGAAAGCAAAAAATTTGTTTGAAATTAAAAAGCTTTTAAGCAAATATATATATGTTTAATTAATTTTTTGCTTATTTATATTTGACGTGTTTCCAAATTTTTGCCAATACTATTATTATTTAGTTTTTTATTGTGTTCTGTGTGATTGTGTCTGTACATGTTTTGTTATTCGTTGATTTTTTTCCAACACTAATTATTAAATATTAAAATTGACTGATACGCGAGACGGACGACATTTTTCAATGCTTATGTATCACATTTATTAATATCCAAGTATCCGATATACAATATCCGATGCATATTTTACCGTTCTCGTTTTAAGAACTGTTGAAAGATGTTTGGTATTCCCTTTCCCGCTCAGAAAAAATTTAACATTTGTCACTCTATCACAAAAAACTTAAGCTGCACTAATATGTATAAGACATTTCAACTTTTCCGTCTCTATTTAAGCTATCGCAAATTATGTAAATGGCTTTTTAAGTACATCATTTAAATGACATAGGTGTCAGAAGTTTACAAAAATCCCAGTTGGAAATAAATTTTTAATAGCAATTTTTAATTTATAAATAAAAGTTGAGATCTAAATAACTAATTTTACATCGACTATCTAAGAGTTAGGCTCGGGTGTTCAAAAGCTATCTGCAAAATCTACTAAAGCAAAAGTACATCTTTCCAAGTATAGATTTTATATCGGTTTTTAGTTATTAAATATAAAAATTCAATTATTTACAAAAATTACATTATCTAACTGTTAATTTTTTTTTTTTTTTTTTGTTAGTTGTTGATGTTATATGTGTGCTTTGAAGTTGGTATGTGGTGTGTTAATGAAATAATATAAAGTAGGGTGGTATAAATGCATGAAAAAGAAAAGGAAGTGGAATATTTTTGTTTGTTTAAATAATTTTGTGCAATACCTCCCGAATCCGTGGTCGATCTGTCTTTTTTACGCTTTTTCTTTTTCGAGACATAACCGTAGTTATCCCGAGCGCTCCACCCCGGATATAATTCCATATGCAATTGTCGCTCTTGTCGAGCTTTTTCGTAATATTTGCTCTGCTCTTCGCGGGATAGTTCGTGCCACTACAAAAATATATTATAATATTAAAATAAAGAAGGTAATTAAAACAATTCCATTAGAAAATAATATATTTCTCTAAAATTACTTAATTGGAAGATATCAAGGATTGGATAACATTTGCTGCACTTATTATTTTTTATTCAAAGCTTGGTAAAAAAAACTCGTGTAAATCCCGCCAAACTAATCTATATTTGGGATAAAATATAAATTATTTAATTGAGTATATATATAGTCTTACCCGACGCCCTAATATCTGATTAATCGCCGCTGATTCTTTAAGTGTACATTCGGCCACCACTTTGGCTCTCATCTCCTTCATATACAGCATGAAGGCATTTAATGGCTTCTTGATATGCGGCTTTTTCTTATCATTTGATATATCTTTCGAAGAGTCATTCGATTGATTACTCGATGTATTTTTTGTATCCAAGTTTCTGAAATAAATAAATAAATATACAATATAATCAACGAGATACAATAAATATAAGCAATACCGGAATATTAAAGTAAAATTTAATTAACAAGTCTTTGTAATATAATTTAAGGAAGGACAAATATAATGCATATGGGCAATTCTCTTTTTTGGTTTGACTTTATTACGTTTATTTATTTCATTGAATTTTAATCACTGACCACACGACATGTGGTACTCGACATTATTTCCAATTACACTTTTCATGTTGAGTTGAACATTTTGAGTAAATAGAAGATCGAAACAGTTATTTTCGGCCCTACAAAATATTTATATTCTTTAACACCATCAACAGCCTAGTCGATCTAGTCATGTCTGTCTTGTCCGTCCGTTTGTCTGTCTTTTCAGTCTATCCGTCCGTCCGACATTTTTTCCGTCCGATGTATATAAAGATCATATAATAATTTGGTTTTAAAATTTATATTATACATTTAAATGCTAAAAAAACACATACAAAACAGAGTTTCATTACATTTTACCTATACTTGTTATGTTTACAGTTTGACAGTTTTACACTCCCAGCTTAACATTTTCTCTACATCTACGGATCGCTTCTATGGCAGCTATATGTTATAATTGTCAGATTTTTATGAATTTTATACCAAAATTCTACAATAATAAAAAAAATCGTATATCTCAGAGTAGATGAAATAACGTCGAAAAACAACGAAGTTATAATTTTTTTCCTATTAATTTCCCGATTGTTCCAATGGCAGCTATAAGATATATTCGTCCGATTTTCATAAATTTTTTATCGAAATTCTGAAATAATATAAAATGGCGATATCTAAAAAATGGTGCAAAAATGTTCAAAAACAGCAAAGTTATAATTTTTTTTTTTCCAAAAATTTTTCGATCATTTGTATGGCAGCTATATGATATAGTCGTCCGATCCCGTTCCGACATATATAGCAGTGAGAGTATATAGAAGACTATATGCAAAGTTTCATTCAGATAGCTTTAAAACTGAGGAACTAATACATAGCATATAATAATTCTGTTTTGATATTTATATTATAAATTCAAATGCTGAAAACACACAGAAAACAGAGTTTCATTCCATTTTACCTATACTTATTATGTTTACAGTTTGAAAGTTAAAGTCTTACATTCCCAGTATTACATTTTCTCTACATCTATCGATCGTTTCTATGGCAGCTATATGATATAGTTGTCCGATTTTCTTAAAATGTATACCCAAAATTCTGAAATAATAAAATAAGATTATCAGGCCTGCTCCGGTAATCGAAAACGGTAAGATTTTTTCGTTTTCGTTTTTGAAAACGGGAAATTGGTGTTCCGGTAATCGAAAACGAAAAATTTTTTGGATTTGAAAAACGGGCACCTTTTTCTGGCCGGAATTAAAAGTAAATTCTGAAAACGAAAACGGTTCGTTTTCGCCCAAAACGAAAACGAAAAAACTTTACGATTACCGGAGCAGGCCTGTATATCTCAAAGTAGATGGAAATACGTTGAAAAACAACGAAGTTATAATTTTTTCTCTTAATACAGCTATAAGATATAGTCATCCGATTTTCATTAAATTAAAACCGAAACTGAAATAATTAAAAATAGCCATATCTGAAAATTTATTAAGATATATTGAAAAACAGCCAAGTTATAATTTTGTTTCTAAAAATTTGTCTATTATTTGTATGGCAACTATATGATATAGTCGTCCGATCCGGCCCGTTCCGAGATATATAGCAGTGAGAGTGAGAAGACTACCATATATGCAAGTTTCATTCAGATAGATTTAAAACTAACTAGATTGCGTAGAAACGGACAGACGGACGGACAGACGGACATGGCTAGATCGACTCGGCTGTTGATGCTGATCAAGAATATATATACTTTTTAGGGTCGGAAATGTCTCCTTCACTGCGTTTCAAACTTCTGACTGAATCTACAATACCCTGCAAGGGCAGATGTAAAAATTAAAAGTTGTGAATGTAAAACTGAAATAAAAAATCTGTAAAAATACAAATATATAATTATTAATTTAAATTATTGGTCAATGTATTCCTAACGCTTCAAATTAAAAAAATTCGCATTCAAATTTGATCAATTTGAGCATTGCTTAATGTAACTACGTTGACAAAAAAAATCATTTTTGAGAATTTTAAATTTTTTTGGCGCGGTTGTATAAAATGGAGAATTACCCATATATTGATAAATTTGATTATTTTAATTACATGTTCTTTAGCTTTGTTCCATGATACTTGGTACTTAGATCAAACGGAGCATCTATCAATATTTCAGCTTCGTTTGGACTGGATCCGACAACATGTTTAAACATATTGTTGGTACAGCTTTCTCTTACTGATGATTTGGGTTTGATAATTGCAGAAAGTTTATCTATTGTTTTGGCGTTAGATAAATATTGATCGCTATTTATTGTTGTCTTTAAATTATTTAGCTTAATTGCATCTGTTGGTTTGATTTTTCTACGATTTTGGCTTAAGCCTAAAATACCAGAAATTATTTCCGTTGAGAAACAATTTAAAGGTGCCGTAGAGGATGGCGAAGAAATCGCATTTAAAAATGCTGGATGCTCGGTAATGTTAGTATTATTAAATAAGCTATGCGGCGAATTCCTAGTATTATCATTTTCTGAAGAAGACAACGAAGCGTATTCTAAAATAATTTCCGCTGCTGTTGTACAATTCTTAACATCTTCCTTATTATTGTTAGAAGAGAAGTTTTTTTTTTTTGTATGCCAAATGCAATTGGGTGAGGTTAAGTCTTCGCCATCGCTTTTACCATAAAAACTATGCGTGTTTATCGCTGACGCTAGTTTTAATATAATATCCTCGATTTCATTTAGTGTTTTGGGTTTACTATCGTTTTTTTTAAGATCAATTGGTTTAATTTCTTCACTTTCTTCTGACAAAGCTATGGCCGCTAAAGCCATTATCGTATGCGTTGCAGTATGACTCGCTTCTTCGGACGACGACAGACCCAAACGTTGTAAGCTCCTTAGGTAGTATAGCTCCGAGCTGGTCCATTTATTGTACAAACGCTTCACTTGATCCAATATCGTATCAATTGCCTTGCAATTGTCTTTTAATTGTCTTCGAACTGTTGCCTCTAAAGCTGAATCTGCAGTGTTTTGATCAATTCCATTAGTGTTCCCCAAATTATTTTGAAATTTTCCGGACAATAGCGACAGTTTTTCCAGTCCAGTTTTGACTTCGTTGAGTATGTTTTTGTGTTCCTTAATAAACTCGCAAGTGTACTGTAGGTCGTATGATTCTCCATACCTATTATCCTTGAAAGATTTAACATTTTGATCAATATGCACCTTATGATCTAGCAAGTTCCTTTCAGTTCTATTATCAAAAAGAGGTTGATCTTCATATCTTAAGCTGCTTTCGTCTCCATCTCCAGTGGGTAACTCGTTATTATTATTATTATCTTGAGAAGATGGTGTCGGCGGTAAATCTTCTTGTCGTATTATTGTTTTCTTTGTGAAACCCGGAAAGGATTTATTCATTTTATCCATTTTATCCGTTTCGGGTAACTGGTGTGGCTGGAATAATCGAGCATAGAAGAGTTGGGTGGCCAAAATTTGCTGATCGGAGCATTTCTGTTGATTGTATATGCAGGAAAATAATTCGCTTCGATTGCGAAGCATCTCATCCTCTGGACAAACAATTGTTTCTTGTTGTAAAGTTGGCCAGAATTGTTGAGGCTGTCGTAAAAGTAGCTCTGATAATGTGGAAGGTATTTTTTTGGCAGTGTATTCTTCCGACGATGGGTTGTTAATATCTTGGCTGCTACTATTATATATCCTACATGGTTTTATCAGGCTTTCAGTGCTAGGCAAGGCTCCAAATCCAAAAACAGCGTCCCCCACTGCGTTTTTTGTTTGCTTCAATTCACATAAATCACTGAAAGAAGAATATTGTGTTTTGATCTGGCCATCGTCATCATGAGTATTTGGACTTGACTGTCTATCTTTTAAGTCCGTCGATGAATTGGGCATTATTATTGGTTTTCTATAACCAAGGCAATTACTTTAAAAAACTTTTGTTGTATTGTTATTTTGGGTATTAATTAGAGATGAGTTCGACTTTTATTGTAATGTGTTCTTTTAATTTTATTTTTATAAACTTAAAGTGTGATTTTGCGTTTACTAATTTTTCTATTTAACACGTAACTAATCTTGTTTCTCGTCGCATTGTTATTCTTGCAATTGTCTTCGGTTTTCTGTTATTTATTACAGATTTTTCTTCTGTATTTTAAAGATAATTTTATTAGTGGTGGTCTCATCTATAATATTATATATATAAAATAGACTTGGTGTATATTATATATATATAATATATAGGGTATATATGTATATATAAGTCACCCTGTTTATGGCTGCCTGTTGCAAAAATGCTTATTTTAATTTGGTTTGAGCTAAAAAACATAATTATGTTTAGAATTTAGATATTCAACATTTTAAAATATTAATTTAATACATTGGAGGGTTATTTTATATCAAATTTTACATAAATTTAGTAAAAAAAAAAAAAAGTATGTAAAAATAAAAATAAATCTATTGTTTATTTTTATTTAATTATGATTCGGAGTAGATTCCAAGAGTTAAATGAATTAAATTAAGATTTTTATAAGATTTCCAGTGTATTCAAATTTTGCACATAATGTAAATACACGAACGTTTTTAATTTTGTAAAAAATTTAATCACATTTATTTAAAAGTCATTTTAAATAATATATATAAATAAAAGAAAATTAAAAGCCTTTGCATCCATTTGATTATTTTATCTCCGCTCTTAGTTCTTATAACCGCACATAAGGATTTTATTATTGCAGCTTCATTTAATTTAAATATTATTGCAGTTTTTAGTTTAATATCTCTCCGCTTATGTAGATTTTCTTAAAATTGTATATACTGCCACAAACAATATCTCTCTTTTCGGGAATTAAAAGATAAAACTTAACGATGACGAAGCAAGCTCTTTCTCTCGGCGTGAGAGATAGAGAGAAACGAATTACATGCGTAAGAGCCATTGCGCAGGACATTTTCCACGTTGAAAACATTCGCTCACAATAACGTCTAATAATAAATGAATATAACCTAATAAATCCCTAAAGAAAATATTGTCGATTTTGGGGCTTAAGTTAGTTTTATAAAAATATATTTACTCGGTTGTAGTTTTTTTTTTTTATTTAAATATATTTAATTTCTGGGATAGGCAGGACTAGAAAGGCATCTACAAATGTTTATCTACTTGTTGATAGTTTTCAAGGATTAAAATCGAATAATGTTAATCGATTTTTGTAGCTTTATTTGACATCAGTGCCGAAGATATGAGTGAACACAATATATTAGAAAGAAATACTAATAAACACCAGCAGAAATATATTTTTTTTTTTTGAATGTATAAAAAGTTATATTTTTTAAGTTTTATATATTAAGAATCGATCAAATCTTAACAAATCTTTAACAGTAGTATTCAAATACCAACTGTTGTTTTTTTTTTCATTTAGCTTACATGTTGTGTTTACACTACAATTACTTGCAACAAAAGAAAGAAAAACTCTCCAAAAGTCAACTTTAAATTAATTTTGAATATATTTTTAGAACCTCTTTCACATGCACATACTTTGTGTAATATTTTGTTTCGTGGAGAAGAATAATTCGAGTATATCCAATTCGTCGTCATTAATTTATTCTAATTTAGTGTCACTATAAACCACCGCAACCTTATATAGGTGCTAAAATATTTATTTTACTATTTTTGTTAAACTGTGGTGAGCGACATCGGTTCAATCGCCTGTTATAGAAGAGTGTGCTCTGAAGAAGTCACAATTTCACATCTGTCAAAAATAGCAACTGTTTTACACGGATGGGCTTTGTGGTGAGAGGGTACTTAGGAAGTGGTGTCTAAAAAATAGGCTTTTACATGTTGTCAAGCGTATATTGAATACAAATAAAAATTGTTTTAGTTTAAAGGTATTGATTGATTTTGAAATAATAAGCATTTTGAGGAAAACTCAAAATAAAGATAAACAAGAAAGGAAGCTAACTTCGGCACGCCGAAGTTTGTATACCCTTGCAGATTGGTTTTGATGTTTATATTATAGATTTAAATGCTGAAAACACTCACAAAACAGAGTTTCATTACATTTTACCTATACTTATTATTTACATTCCCAGCTTTATATATTTTATACATTTACCGATCGCTTCTAAGGCAGCTATAAGATATAGTTGTCCGATTTTTATGAAATTTATACCAAAATTCTAGAATAATAAAAAAAGCTTATATCTCAGAGTAAATAAAAATGCGTTGAAAAACAACGAAGCTATAATTTTATTTCTATTAATTTCCCGATCGTTACTATGGCAGCTGTATCATATAGTCGTCCGATTTTCATTAAATTTTTAACAAAATTCTGAAATAATATAAAATGGCCATATCAAAGTATCATCATTATGCAAAAATGATTAAAAACAGCAAAATTATAATTATTTTTCTAAAAATTTATCGAACATTTATATGGCAGCTATATGATATAGTCGTCCGATCCGGCCCGTTCCGACATATATAGCAGTGAGAGTATATAGAAGACTATATGCAAAGTTTCATTCAGATAGCTTTAAAACTGACGGACTAGTTTGCGTAGAAACGGACAGATGGACGGACAGACGGACATGGCTAGATCGACTCGGCTGTTGATGCTGATCAAGAATATATATACTCTATAGGGTCGGAAACGTCTCCTTCACTGCGTTGCAAACTTCTGACTGAAATTATAATACCCTGCAAGGGTATAAAAACTATAACTATATTTTTTGTGCCTTATTATTTTATTTAGACTACAACTATAGGTATTGAAGTTATGTTTTAATAATAAGCTAGTTGCGATGTACCGTTACAAATCAGGAATAAAATTGTAAAATACATAAAATAGGTTATTAATATATAGAACTTTTATTAATGAAAAACTAAATTATTTTGTGGTTTAAGTTTTTCTTTTTAATTACTTTGTAAACTTCGACAGGGGGAACAACGGCTGGAGGTAGGTTCTCGGTCGAGTTCGATCGGTGATGCTGACTAATGGTAGTCGGGACCCGGATGTTTTAAAATCGCTTTTCTCTGTTCTCATCTCAGCACACCGGATCTAGCAGTTGCCAGATTCGAGGCAGCGGACGGGAGCGAAGGGGATCGCCTCGGCTTTCATGGCCCATGACGAGCCGGTACCGAATGAGCTGGTAATTAATCTGCTGCAACGTGCCGAAGACAGACAGACGATCCTGGTGCTAGGATGCGACGCAAACTCGAGGCACACGCCGTAACGTATGTAACAAAGGTGGTAACACATTAAATAGAACATGGCTCAATTGCACAATGTCGATGCAACACTCCTTCTCGGACCACAGGTATATTTTCCTTGCCATATCTATCATTCCGCTAAAAAACCAGATACCGAGACGAAACCCCAGTAGAACAGATTGGGGCAAATTCGGTGAAATTGTCTACCCTAAGGTCAGTAAAAGGAGGATAAAGGTACACTTCTCCTCAAAGGTACTCGACAAGGAAGTAAAAGACCTTAACATCCTAAACAACGAAGAAGCAATATCCACTTAGTGGATCAAGGAACTGAGCGATTTCAGGAAGAGAGCGCGGAGGTCTTTTAACACGAGCTATGGAACCAAGGAATGGAAACAATACAAGGATGCGCAAGAAGCATACAAAAAAGCAGTTTACGTAGCTAAGAAGGAGTCCTAGAAGAGCTACTTCAAATCACTAGAAGGCAATAAAGAAACGACAAGATATCTACCAAGGGCATGCTAGCCTCACACTAATCAACATACAAAACGGCACAGCCACAATTATAGATAAAGAATCACTAGAGGTACTAGTGGACACCCACTTTCCAGGGAACCTACGGATGCGGAATCCGAAGACGGCGAAAAACCACAGGCAGATGCACAAGCGAAGAACATCGTTACCACGGACGGCATAATTCCGGCAATGTAGCAAAAAGCTCAAAAAACATCTGTAGATATTTTTTAGCCATATAGGAGGCTTGTGCAGCCTGACAAACATCCCGCTACTGTGACGAGTCGTAATTGAAAATCTCAATGATCCTCTGCTTCCTTAGCGACTCAGGCTGGTACTGAAGGTGAAACAACGGAGGAAGTGGATCGAATTGGAGGCTTTAGAATAGAGCCTCACCACTTCTACGTACCTACCTTGCAAACTTCGCAGACTTTCGCAATTTTCAAGGTGCGATGCAACTGACAATTTCGCAATACTTTCTTGTAATAATGCAAATAGCACTGATAAAATTCATTAATCGTGAAAGAAAATATTTAAAACAAGAAAGGAAGCAAACTTCGGCACGCCTAAGTTTGTATACCCTTGCAGTTTGTAATTGTTCATTAAGAATCCAGAAGTTTTAGTTAAATTAAAAGAAAAAAAATAAAATATATAAAAGTTGTACATATAAATATACATAACTAGCATATAATAATTTGGTTTTGATACTTTTATTATAAATTTAAATACTGAAAACACACACAAAACAGAGTTTAATTACACTTTACCTATACTTATTATGTTTACAGTTTGGCAGTTAGTCTTACATAGTCTTTCTATGGCAGATATATGATATAGTTGTCCGATTTTCATGAAATTAATACCAAAATTCTGAAAAAAGCTAATATCTCAGAGTAGATGAAAATACGTTGAAAGACAACTTAGTTATAATTTTTTCTCTTATTTTCCCGATCGTTCCAATGATAGCTATAAGATATAGTCGTCCGATTTTCAGAAAATTAAAACAGAAATTCTGAAATAATACAAAATTACCATATCTTAAAGAAGAAGAAAAAATGTTGAAAAACAGCCAAGTTATAATTTTTTTCTACAAATATTTCGTAGAAACTGACAGAAGGACACGGCTGGATCTACCCGGCTGTTGATGCTGATCAAGAATATATATACTTAATAGGGTCGGAAAGGTCTCGTTCACTGCGTTGCAAAATTTCTTACCCATTTTCTTGAAAGAAGGCTGGGATAGATATTTTGCCAGAAGTTTTACTACTACTCGTGCTTAACTATTTTTGTGCAAAAAAATTTTTGTTATACTTCAATGTGTAGCAAAAATGTTTGCTTTAGGGCAAAATATTTTGTCTAGTTTTCTTGCGTGTTGCATTGAGAAACACAATTGAGTATTATATAGAAAATCAACTATATATTGCTAACGATTTTATCCGATGTTAAAACATATATATATTTATATTGTA